TCTAACTGGCCTCACAACCGCAGACCACGTGTAACCACACCAGTCCAGGACTTCCACATCCAGCAGCTTCACCTCCAAGATCATCTGAAACCAGCCACCTGGACAGCTGCTGCAACAATCGGTTCGCATAACCAAAGAATTTCTGCAAAAACTGTCAGGAACCTTCTCAGGGAAGCTCATCTGCATGCTCGTCATCTACCTGACTGCAGTTCGTCTTCGTGACTGACTTGAGTGGGCAAATGCTTAACATTCGATAGCGTCTGGCACTGTGGAGAGGTGTTCTCTTGGTTTACTGATGTCAACGTTGTGGATCGAATGGCCCATGGTGGCGGTGGGGTTATGGTATGGGCAGGCATGTGTTAAGGACAACAAACACAAGTGCTTTTTATTGATGGCATTTTGAATGCATAGAGATACCGTGACGAGATCCTGAGGCCCATTGTTGTGCCATTCATCCACAACCATTACCTCATGTTGCAGCATGGCCCCATGTTGCTGTAGACAATTCCTGGAAGCTGAAAACATCCCAGTTCTTGCATGGCCATGTCACCCATTGAGCATGTTTGGGATGCTCTGGATTGGCATATATGACAGCATGTTCCAGGTCCTGCTAATATCCAGCAACTTTGCACAGCTATTGAAGAGGAGTAGATCAACCACAGGCCACAATCAACAACCTGATCAACTCTAAGTGAAGGAGATGTGTTGCATTATGTGAGGAAAATGGTGATCGCACCAGATACTGACTAGTTTCCGGACCCCTGCGGACTCTCCCCAATACAGTGAAATTTTTGAGTGGCCTTTTATTGTGGCCAGCCTAAGGCACACCTATGCAATACCCATGCTGTCTGGTCAGCATCTTGATATGCCACACCTGTGACATGGATGGATTATCTCGGCAAAGGTGAAGTGCTCACTAACAGAGATTTTGACAGATTTGTGAACAATATTTGAGGGAAATAGGCCTTTTGTGTACACAGAGAAGTCTTAGATCTTTGAGTTCAGCTGATGATGAATGGGGGCAAAAGTGTTGCATTTATAATTTTGTTCAGTGTATATACAAATTGATTATATGGCCTGACCCTGAGTCACTTTGTGCACATGTGCTGTGTGTCCGGTTTTAAGTAAACTGTGTGAGATACATGAGAAAGAAGTTTATTTTTTAAATCCAGACTGCTATAGTGAATATTACTGTTGCCAAGGCTATAGAAAATTGCTATATTAGTCCAGTAACAGCTTTATCAACTAGTTTATCGGTCAGCCCTATATTTCATGCAACCTTAATCTCAAGGAATCATTGACATTTACATTGATGCTGAGAGTGCTATTGCTGTTCATAACAATGTTTTAGATCAACAGAAGTACTGAATGCATGGCTGGCAGAGCTTGCATTGCAGAAGTCAAATTACGAAGTCAAATTTTGGCTCACAGTTACTGCAATTCAAGTAAGTGTAAACTTTCCATCCAGCTGTTGTTTGCAGCTAAAGATATGAGTCATTGTCTGGTTTTTACTATAATATAGACACTGTATATATTATAAATACCACAAATATACACTAAAACCATGGTTTAGCCCCAAAGTTACTCTACTATTTAATTATTTTTCCTTTGTAAGGGAAGACTTTAACACACTTATTTGTCTATATTCCAGGCAACTGCACAGCTGTATAAGTTGTAAGGTTAATGCTACTATGCATATTATGAAATCTCAAGAACCTAATTGTTATGAAACAATTCGATTAATGTTCTTTTTAGGCATTCATTTTCTAGCAGTTTGGGGAAAAAATGAAATGAGAATGCGTATTTTTGCCAGCAAATCCCACTTAAAAAGCTTATTCAATTAAGGCATTCTTTGGGTTTTCAACATGGAAGCTGCCATTGGCTGGCAAGACAAGGTTGTGCTGCCCTTACAGTTTGAGATGTAGGGCCCATCAGCAAAGCAAAACTACTGGACACATTCCAGGTGCAAATGTAGAACTGTAGTATTTTATCTCTCCTCCCCCTGTAACATAAAACACAGCTGAGCCATTTTCTGACACTACTTTATTACCAATAGATATAATATTATCTAATAACTAATTCAGCCACGTGTGTAGGTGACAGCATGTCTGAATACTCTCTTTTAACAGACTTCTCTCTGTAATTAGGAAGCCATTTTTAGTTGTATTGCTCATGTCACTCAAACTGCATCAACACGGCGACAGAGCACATCTTCCTGTCTGTTCCAATCAGATATTCTCATTAGAAACAGCAGTGGGCCAACTATGAAACAGACTGATTGTGTGCTCTCTATTCAAATTTCACCCAGCTTAACAAGCATGCAGCAGTTTCTTTCCACCTGTTCTCATCCTTTCTCACCCCTTTCAGTTCCTTAATGAATCTGTGATTTGATTACCTGTGATTTGTAAGGTTAACAACAGGATATGACTTGTTTACCCAGTATCAGCTTCCTCCCTGCCTGTGCCTCTCGATGAGGTTTCTCCTTTGTTACTTCTTGCTCCCTCCTTTTTCTTTTATACCCAAGGCCACACACCAGTAGACAGACAGACAGACAGCCCCCAGGTTGACTGCAGATGACCCTACATTTAGAAATGAGGACAAAGGTGTGCAACGAAGCACCCAAAATAAATAGAATGTGACTGATAGCAGCGACCGTCACACTCAGTGCGCAGACAGTAAGGACGAGGACTGGAGAGGAAATGAGAGGAGCCTTGTCAGAGGAAAGCCAGAGCCATCTGTTGTGAAAGAGTTGTGCCACTGAAATCAGCGAGGCTTCAGTCATCAACCCCTTAACGAGTACTATTAACTATAGGGGTGTAACGACACACAAAAATCACTGTTAGGTACGTACCTCGGTTTTGAAGTCACAGTGCGATTTATTTTCGGTACAGTAAGGGGGAAAAAAATGCTAACATTAAATTGCTGCTGGTATATTATGAAGTTTTGTGAACATCCAAATTAGTTTACAATTTATTAACAAACTTACAAATTACACATAATAAATAATAAATAAATAAATTATATAAAATAAAAAAGAATAACAAATAAAATACTGCTGCAAACTACTACCAAGTTCTTCACTAAATAAAATATTCTCAAAACAATACCACATATAGCTAATAAAATATAATAAATGTATTTAAATGGACAGGATGACAAGTGGGTGTTAAGTTATTTTTAAGTCAGAATGTCACTAGTAAGATTGTTCTAGTCAGCTAAGCCAGAAAGGGTTGTTTACCATAAGCGCTGTGTTTTCCATTGTTCCAGGATGTCAGTGAATGTGCGTTACGTTTTGAAGCCTGTCAATGAACTGTGTTCGTACCTGTGATTGGCAGAGAGTTAACAGTGATGGTTCTTATTGTTCCTGCTAGGCCGAAGTGTATTTGTGTGTGTGTGTGTGTGTGTGTGTGTGAGCAAAGGGGAGAGGGACAGAGAGAGTTGAGGGGGAGAAGTTGGCGTGTAGCACTTGGTGACGGCAGAGGTGTATTGGCGTTGGCACTGACCATGCTGCTCAAGTCGCTAGTTAGCGAGGGGCTGGGCTAAAGCGTGCTGCTTGTGTAGCGCCGCCAGGCGGAGATTTGGTCAGCCACTTGTCTGTGTGGAAACTCGGAATTTACGTATGTTCCACAAACAAAACAAGCCTAATTATGACGTTAAAGATTGCATTCACATGTGCACCGTTTCGAAAGTCCTGGACCGAAATGGTCCGGTACGAATATATGTACCATTACTCCCCTAATTAGCTTACAGCTTTTATGTCAAGGATCTTTATCCAGGATTAGGAAGGGAAATGTATGCTTCTGTGCAATGAGAAAGTTTCCATTCAACTAATAGAAGCCAGCTATGCCATCTTGTTCTGCCATACCGACATGTTAAACTCTACTGCTACCACACTGTGCAGATTCAATGTTTGATAGAGACAACTGACCAATGTCTGTAATTATGTAATGTTAAATATGAAATACTACTAATAACCACAACATAGGTAAAGTAACAATGTTATTGGCCAGATCTGTGTCGAAAGTTACAAAAAGAATAAATGAAAATCTAACTTTAACAGTTTTGTTACAATTATATAAAAAACAGAATACGGATGATTTTCATTCAGCTCATTTTAAAGCTACATTAAACAGGTTTTGACCACGGAGGCAGAAGGAGTCCAAAGCAAGTCAACAGAGAGTCTTTGTTATGAAAAGCTCAAACACACAGAAACACAGCTTCAACGTAACACTGGTGTATCGGGTTTCCATGGTTAACATGTTAGTAAACGTGGTTCACTTACCTTCCTACAGACACACCACGTGGATGTCCATGTAGTTGGGTTTTTGGCCAGCTGATGAATATAAGTACAGTATTTACTTGCTTTTAGTTCTGGTTTAGTCATCTTCTGAGAACAATATATCACCAACCACTAGGTTACTATGGCTGTTTCTTTACACTTAAAGTAGCATTATGTGAGCTCGTTTGCTGGAACAATGGGACTTGGTTGAATGTTGATATTGAGTGAATGGCTGATGTGGATTCAAAATGACCTCTCGTGTTTACCATCTGTAACTTTGACATCCAAAATTTCACAAGTGTACGAGTTTTAATTTCTGTTTGGAAGTGTCAAATAGTATTCATTTGTGGAAGTAGTACAGTAAAAGATCTAAAAAAAATTCACACCTCAGTTGATGTATCCCCCTAGATAGTCCGTTATGTAGACCTTGAAAGCCTCATAGCATGGCAGCTTTAGATTCAGTGAATAATTTAATACTGTAGCCTGGATCACGCCCTTAATCTTGAAAAGTTCTCTTCCAGGATCCCAGATGAGACAAAGTCTTAGCCTGGGACTTGGGGTCATGGAAACATGGTGTTACTTTTGCTGTGTGGATACTCGGCAGCAAAAGGCACATGCATTTTTTTTTTGTTTTTTTTGTATACCACTCCGCACTTTTTGAAATGCTTATCCAAGCTATTTGATTAACGCGTATGCTTTTCCTCTCTGGTCTTTTCCTCAGGTCGAGCAAAACTATGAATCTCTGCTCAAAGTGTTTTGCAGGTAAGTTCTTGTTCTTCTGTGTGCTTGTTTGGTTGGTTGATTGATCTTGTGTCCAACAAAGTGCTGTGTAAGGTAGGTGGGTAGGGGGTCAGGGACTGTCTCCACTTATGTAGCTGTTCTGGAAAGGCCTTGAAGTGACAAAAAGTGGAGAAAGAAGTCTGAAGAAGTAACTCAGGGGTAAAGTTGAGTGTTGTGCTCACCCCAACTCTGTTTATTTGTTATGAAACACTTTTAAGGAAAGGACAGAATTTTATAATTTTTACAGCAGTAACTTGTATACCTTACCTGTATCCAACTGGAATTTTAACTTAACCTATTTGGTGGTATTTGCTTGTCAACCATGAAACGGGTGCATACGCACAGATGCACACAAATGTCTCACCATTTGACTTTCTTCATAGATATTCAGAAGAAACAGCCAGACAATGATTGTGCCCCGAAGGCCTCCTCAAGCTCCAGCGGCAGCCAAGCAGATGTCTTCTGTAATGAAACAAACAGCAGCATTAGTCAGTCACTGATGTCGATGCCTAACACATCGGAAGACCCTTCGCCAGGAGAGACGGGAGCGACATCTCTACCTGCTCAGGATGGTAAGACAGCAGTTAATCAATAAGAAATTAATGTTTTCTTTTCAGCACAAATGATGTTAGGCCAGGGCCTCTTTGTTATTTCAGATGTTATATTTATATTTCAGATGCCTTAGGGCCATAGTTCATTGAAAGATACATGCTGCCCTTTTCTTTGCAGCTGTGGCGAGTGGAGCACCCCTCTCCCTTTAGTAGGGTGACCCCGAATAGTCGAAGATTCTGTGCTTTGATAGAAGGAGACTGATTCACAGAGGCGTTATGAAACGAGGATAATACCGGTTTTCTTCCAATAAGTTAATATACAGTCTATTATGATATAAATATCAACATATAACACTAATTAAAAATGTGAAAAGAAAGAAGCTTTTAATAAAAAATTTTAAAGTGCATAAATAAATCCAAAATTGTAATGCTAACCCTTAAGGAAGGGGGCGTCAGTGTGCATGTACTTTTAGAGTGTGCATGTACAGAGCAAAAGGTGTCAACAGTAAGCCTCAGTTTAGCTGCAAATGTACAGTGTAAGTTACAGTGACTAATGAATAGAGACAAAAGCTCTTCAGCTTCTCAAGATTAAAGCAGAGCTACTGTGTGTAACCGCCATCAAGACTTGACAATTCTAGACCTACTCTGAAGTGTTTAACTTAAAGGACCAGTGTGTAACATTTAGGGAAATTGGCAGAAATATACTAATATTCTAGAGCACGACCGATATGGGATTTTTAAGTCTGATACCGATTTTGAAATTTGAGGAATTTAAAATCCGATAGCCAATATATTGGCTGATATTCTTTTCCCCCTTATTTTAAGAAACGCATAACATAAACAAAGATTATCCCTAAAATTTGTTATGTTGAGACCTCCCCAAGATACCATGACATAAAGCAGTTTAAAAATAAACTTTGTTATTGTTAGAAATAGTACATAGAACAAAAGTACAACAAAATATATTAGTTTTGATAAATAACAGTCAAATGTATAAAACTACAGAGAACATTTTTAAAATATCTGATTTATTATAAATTATAGAGTGCTACTACTAATGAACATTAAATTAACAATTAAATAAACACTGTTAATTTGATCCAATGCTACAGAAACCATTTCCTAACTGCTATTTGGCTCTATGATACAGTGACGCAGAGGAAACTCTTCCCTTGAATCATCTTAAGCTAAGCTCCTGTGTAGGGGCTACATGCGTAGCTACGCCGTAGGCTACGCAGGTAGTATGGCATTTATTCTTATACGTCGGTGTCTCCGTCATTCTGCAATTACACCCCCAAACGCTAGTTAGCGGTAGCGCTACAGCGTCCACTGTGTTGACCTTTGCCGGCTGAGCAAGCTAACTTCCGGTTTAGCTCTGACATCTACGGCATAGCCTCTGCGTAGCTCCCTACCCTACACACTCACCTATGCCGTAGAATTGACGCAGAAGTATAAATTGTACTTAATACTACATGAATGTCTACAACGAGGACCTGCAACTGTGTGTTAGATACTTGTTCAGCTCATGTTTACTCACAAGTCCCCTCTGATTTAATCATTTCTGACACGCCACCTGTAACAAAAGACACTACAGTTTAATCGTTCATTAATGTTAGCCTCCTCCACTGATAAACACGGCTTTAGCTTTGTGGCTAATTTAGCAACAGGCAGCGTTATCTGCTGTTGCCAATGTTAGAAAATATTTAGAAGTAATAAATTAGAGAGAAATGAGAGGACCGGTCGCTAGAACTGCCAAACTGTTCCCGAAATAAATTACATTCACGTCTGTCAGCAGCGTAGCCTCCAACACTAGAGACCTTTCTCAATCTGTGTTCTTGTTTGTACCTGTGTTCTTGTGAAACTTCATCTTTTGTGGCCCAAGTACAGTCCCAATACACAAGTTTGCATTTTGGCAAGAACGGTTAAAATTCCCGGAAATGTTCTTGACACTCCCATTTTATTTTAAATCAACTGTAGATGTACTAAAAATGATGGTGAATCAAAAATGTGCTCCAACGTTTTCGGAGTTCTCCGCAACCGTCAGCAGGGGGAGCTAGTGAACCAGTCCGTAGGTGGGAGCTAACGAGCCGGCCACCCAGTCAGCTCACAGAGCCCTCAACAGACAGGCAGACCACTGCAGCCAACACAGCATAGAGTCCAGCAACAACGGCAGAGTAAAGGCCCACAGCTGTAAGATAGTTTTAACGTTCGTACCGTTGTTATTCTGTCATTACATTCTGAGTAATTTTGTTAGATTTTAACTTAAATCAAGAGACATCTGGATGATGTACAGAAAAATCTGGTCTCAAACAGTCAGCACCGCTTTGTGACATTGCAAATTCATTCTTCCAAGAACAACTAGCAAGAACGTTCTCCCCAAGAACACAAAACTGTTTTTTGCATTGTTGGTTTTTAGAAACACCCTGGGTTACTGTGACATTAAACACGCTGTGAGCCTAGAGAGGGCAGTGAAAAACGGGAGGGTTAGCAACTCTGGTCTCCGAAAAGGAAAAGCGGGCTATTTTTAGTCATGTAAGTCGTGTAATTGACGTGACAAAAGACCAACTCACTGGGAACACTAAACTACCAGAACTCCGAGCCGGTAGACTGCGGTCAGCTGATGTTTTATTCGGTGGTGCTGCAGTGTTGTTAACAGAGGAGCTGCAGGGCACCCTCTGGTGGGCAAACTATGCAACACTCATGGCATGCGGGAAGGTTTTCTTTTTTAATAGTCATATATCAGCTGTTATAAACGCTGATGCAGATATATCTGCAAGTAGCTTATACTGGATGATAATTTCTGCATAGCGATAAATCGGTCGGGTTCTATAATATTAGTTATTAGTAATAATAGTATGTTTAATAGGGCCTTTCGCATTTTTTGCGAATTTATCGGCCACTGTAGGTTTTCCTACATGCTTGGAAGGGGAGGGTGAGGCAAGGGGTATTCAGTTGGTTGCAACCTGACCTAGATGCCACTAAAGCCCCTTTTCCACTGTACAGTACCAGCTCGACTTGGCTCAACTCTACTCGCCTTTTTTTCCTTTTCCATTGTGGAAAAGCTGTACCTGTACCTGCTACCAGGTACTTTTTTTGTATCACCTAAGTTGAGGTTTCAAGCGAGCTGAGGCGATACTACAGTGTGACATGAAAACACAGCAGACTACTGATTGGTCAGAGAAAATCGTTACTATTCACTGCATCATCATTGCATGCGCCAGACATTGAGAGATACTATGTCTGGGTACAATGTGCAATGGAAAACGGAGCACGGCCAAACCGAGTCGAGTAGTACTGGTAATGGAAAAGCGCCATATATCCTACAAACTGGTCCTTGAAAGACTACACGGTGATGCAATGTCTGCCAAATGGGCTGAAAATTTAGAGGTGTGTTTTAATACACAAGCGCTAACGGCAGTGGTTAAAACCACAAACATAGTATTGTAGCTTTTAGTCCAGTGCATCTTTCGGTAGAAGACAGCAGCTAGTTTCTGCCAGCTGAAGCAGCAGCTCCAGTGCCCCTGTCCTGGCTATATTTGTCTTCATGGCACAGATAGAGAGAGTGATAGGAAAAGGTAGCCATTCAGAAGTGAAGGTTTTAAGAGGACACCTACAATTGCTAGGGCATCGGCCATCGCTAAACAGTGACAAGGTCGTTTGTGGAGGCCAGTTCAGGACAGGACAGTAAAGTGGATACCTCATATGTGTGGAACCCACACTAACCTGCTCCTCTGTGACAGCAGAAGCCTTTTCGTAATACACACAAGTACATGATTTTTAGTCCCTCACAGAACTCACTTGAAATATTTAAGTCTAGTGAAGAACCCTATAAAATCAGTGACTGAATACCCATCAGCCTCAGCTGTACTCTGAAACTGATGCTAAAATATTACATATTACATGTTAGAGCTGAAATAGCTAAATGATTTATTTATTAGTCAATTGACAGAAAATGAATCTGCAACTATTTTGGGAATTGATTTATTGTTTATGTCATATTCTAGCTTAATTGGCAACATGTTATTGGTTCTAGCTAGTCAATTTTTATGGTTTTCTTCTTTGTCAGTTTTATCTCATATATATATATATATATATATACACACCTAAATGTCTTTGGGTTTTGAACTCTTGGACGGACAAAACAAGACATTTGAAGACATCGCCACTATTTTTTTTAAAATTGTGACATACCTTTGTTTCATTTTATAGACTAGGTGATGAATCAAGTAATATAAGAAAGTAAGAATAATTGTCAGATTAATTTATAATGGAAATAATTGTTCATGGCAGCCCGACATGGTACATGTTTTGTGGTGACTTGATTTTGAACCTTCCGTGCGTTGACTCATTTTACTCTGAGTCCCCGTCTGTGGCAGAAAGTTTGATTACAGGACTCTGATCTGGAACTTAAATGCATTAACATTACCAAGAGCAGGTAATTCATTTGTTTTAAAATTTTTCAGAATTTATTACCTTTGTTTAATATTGTCATTCAGGCATTTGACTCAATTGCATTTCTACTGTATCATTTTCAATTTCACTATTAAAAATGTATCAGGTGACTGTTTAGTTGTTTTTTTTTTCCCACCGTCAGCCATGTCTTGGCTGGCTTCAATCTGCACACATGTCACACTGCGGTATCTCCTTCACAGATATCTATCACGGTCTCTGTGGGGGAAAAAAAGCTCACTGCATAATAATGGATTCCACACACCCCAGTCATGGTCTTTTCTTCCTGCTACCGTGTGGAAAACTGTACCACGGTATCTGGGCAACGTCCAGAAGACTCTCCAACAGCTTCATGTCCTCAGGCTGTTGATCATAAACTAGTTTTCTTTCAGAGCAACCTAACACATGACCTAATCTGTCAATCAGTTTCAGTTTACCATTTTTTAAACGGTTGTTTGGCTTTGTATATTTATAGTGTGTATATGTAAGATTTTGCAAATGCATGTCCGTGCTAGTGTGTGCATTTTCCAACGTTTTACAGATTTATTGCTGAATTATTTATTGGTCTGTTCTAAATCAATATATGTGTCTTTCAGAAGTATCCAGCACAGACACAGTCTTCAGTTCACTCTCCACTCCCACAAAACGCTCCTTCGAGTCAGGTATGCCCTTAACTCTACCATTACAATGTCCATTATTGTGTTTTACACTGTGTGCTTGTCGGGTCCACTTATAGGCATGGGAGTGGAAGACCCAGTAGCATCAATGGTATTGGATTGATCCAAAGTGACCAGGCTAATTGTACTTACAGTGGAAACAGCAGATATTGGGGATGCGATAGAGTGTATGTGCCAGAGGGTGCAAATGTAAAGCCAGTCAAGCGCTAACTAGAGTGAATGCTGGGTACAAATGCAGTAGTTACACAAATTGGTAACATAGACATACGATAAAGAAAAGGCCACACAGAATGGAGCGTGGTAGCTCAGTGGTTAGCACTGTCACATCACAATAAGAAGGTGTTTGATTCTACAAATTTAGGAAATAGACTTTGTTACAGAGGGAGCAGGTCACAGTGAAGCACTTCTGACACAGCTGAAACGTGCACATGCTGGGAGCTGGTGCAGACCATAGCATTATTAGCAGCGTTGATTTGGAATAAGTTGAACGAGGGTGGATGTCTAAAACACTGCAGACTTTCCTCCAGTGTAGATTTCTCTTTATTGTGCTTTCACCCTTAGGTGACACAACCTTCTGCAGTCACACACTTGAACACTGACTTAAGACTACTGCAGAGTAGGCAAGACTCAGCCATGGTGTGTAAACATGTTGATCCCCTGTCTAATGCAGCGGGATCATGTGCTGTGGCCGTGTTGACGTTTCACTTTTTACAGTATCTCTAAATGGGGCTCTCTGTATTTTAGTCTAAAGCCTGGATACACTTAGGCTTTGCTGGTCTTATGTGCAACCTATTACACACAAATCAGTTCTTAGTGCAAATGTCTTGCCTTCAAATGTCTTTTTCTTTGTTGTTGACTCACATTTAAATTTGATGTTTCAGCCGGTGTAAATTGGACACAGAGATTTACCAGGATAACAAAAGGCAGGCAAGGAGGAAACAATTTTTTTTCCACGACATGCACTTGCACATGTACGAACACACATTCTCTCCCACATATAGGGATCGATGGGGCAGGCGAGGGGGATCTGGCTGCTGAGCTTGGCCTAGTTCTCAGAGATTTATTGAGCGCTGATCAGCATTCGGCCGGGCCAGGGAAAAAGTCTGCAGGATTGATGAGAAACGCTGAGTTGAAATTCCAGCCGACCAGTGGAACTCGCTACATGCTCGTCCTGTCTCAGATGCTGGGTTGAATGTAATATAATGCAGGAGAACCATTCATCTCCAAAGCGCATTTTTTTAAATTTCAGATGCAGATTCAGATTTATTTTGTTACCGTGTGCCATCATCTGTTCTCTCCTAGATGCAGACCGCACTAAATCAGAGATGATGTCTTTATATATTACATTAAAGTTGTTATGGAACCTGTTATTGGAGGTCCTAAGTTTTCTCTTGAAATTCTATTCGTAGCTAGGGTCCTGGACCCACAGGAGATGAATGCTTTTTGGAATATTATGTGGGTAGGGGAGTAATAAAAGATGAAGGTTTGGCTGTATATTGGTAGATTAATTATTTAAAATCATTTCCTGGATGATTAATCTTCCCATATCTTTTGTATCAGAAAACTGATTTCTTCATAGCTATCTCCTCTCCTTTTTGCTGACATTAGGTCTGAATACTTTTTCACAGTTGTTAGTATTGGATATTTGAAACATAGAATCAATATTTTGGATCATACAACCTCACAATGGCTATTTTTAAATACAATAAAGCAGACATTCAACATTTTAAGTTGCCATTATGCCATTGTTCACCTCATTTTCAGGAAAAAAGATATACACGGGTCAATGTTCCTATTTAGGCCACCAAAACCGCTTTTCAGATTTTTTTTAATATATACTGACCAGATTTAAGTGAGAACATATAGTTAAAATTAAAATCTAATCTCTCAAGTGTTAATTATTCATTTACACCCATTTCTAATGTTTTTTTTATAGTTTTAATTTGTCAAAATATGTTAAATGTCTTGCAGGGGCTTAATGGGTAACAAACTATTTATAAAACAATAACTTTAGGCTAGACATTCAGGCTAGAAGTTTGAAAACATTGTAAAAATTTATTTTAAAACCACTCATTTCATTTTGCAGTAACATTAAAACAGTTATTTGTGAGGAGACATCACTCATGTCTAGAAGGTCATGTATCATCAAAAAAATGTTATTCACAAAACATTTCTACCTTTTCCTAGGGTGACTTAGGGATTAAAATAGTTCAGAGGTCAAAAGGGAGAATATCCCCATCGGAACACAATCAAGTGGGCTTAATAGGAGCAGGTGTGCTTAAAGCGAACATTGGTAACAGTAAAAATATTGTTGGCTATAGACATTTACGTCCACCTCTGTATGACTATATCTTTTTTCTAGCCTCCCCTTTAAGACCACTGTGTAAAAATGTTCATTAAAAAATAAGTACAGATGAACATACACATTTATTGTCTATTTAAAAGTATAATAATATAAACTGCATACAAAAATGTGAACTATATCACTTACCATGCTTTATGTCACTGCAATGGACCACACTCTGCAGCTACTGTATCGATGCAGCATCAGGTCTGTTTGCTAGCATGTTAAAACTTATAAAAACTCATATTTTGATTTAAAAAGAAACAATATTTCTAATACAAGTAATATACAAGTCAAAAACAAGAATAGAATATGCAAAAAAAAATTTCATTGGAAAAAACATTACACAGCAAAAATGATGTTCAAATGGTGTGTGGGCTTAATATGGACGTTTAACATAACACCCATTGTTGAGCTACCAAAGGTTTACTATTCATTTTGCGTTTGGCTTCAGACTTTCAGTTACTCATGACATCAACAGTACATCCAAGAACCCGTACTGTACATTTTCTCACTTTTGTGAAAAGAGCACAGTGATTGCAGCTAATAGCCTTTTTTTTTCTCTTTACGTTTTGTGCCCCTGTGCTTATTACATGTGTCTCCAGCCTCAGAGTCAGAGAGCGATGTTTCACCCGAGAAGCGAGGACGAATGGGTGACCTGCCAGAGGGTGAGGGGTCTTCATCATCATCATCATCATCATCTTTGTCTGCATCATCATCATCCTCGTCTCGTAGTGGCTCTAAACAGCGGAGCCGCAAACGTTGCCATCGATGCCAAACCAAACTGGAGCTGGTACAGCAAGAGCTGGGTTCCTGTCGCTGTGGTACGGTGAAACAACTCTATACGCATAAACATACATTCGAACACATACATTTTAACCCTTGAACAGATGTACGCTAATACATGCACAGGCCCACTCTCACACACAAGATCATATACATTAAGTAGTGGTAGCTGTTATTAAAGACCTCAGGCATGTGTCTTGCACGTGCATGAGGTGATAAATGACTTTTGCAGTGGTAAATATTGTCCTTTATAAATAAATACATGGTGGTTAACCTGGTCATACTTGAACTTGAATACATCCACTGCAGTGAAATGCATCTACTACCTGTTTGTGTGTTGATGAAAATGTCGATGACTTGAGTGCTTTTGCTCGCTTTGGGGGACCATTACAGAAAGCCGGAATGTTTCACATTGCACATAAAACATAAGACAATTACAACAAACACTAATGCAGTTTAAACCAATACTTGGCTTGCTAATCAACTTGTTTGCATACAAATTAAAGTACTTAAAAAGTCACTGCTCTTCACTGCTTAAAGACCATCTGCTTAAACCCACGCAATAATTTCTAAATTGGAAATTGACTTGCTTTTTTTCCACCAGGCACTGCTTAATGCATGGGCCATCCATCCTTAATAGTCTAGTGCTTACTATGAAAACATGCTTTTTACAGACTGAAAGGGAAATGGTGGCAATTATAGTGATTTCTGACTATTGCAGTAATTGCAGATTACTTTGCTAATGGTTCGGCAGAATGTCTCACAGTATAACCCACGAAGGTCTGATAATGAGCTGAAAGCACGCTTTTCAGATTGTAAATGGGGGAGAAAAAATAGCTCCAGCAAAGTATCTGATCCAAAGTTGTCACACTCTGTAGACTGGTGTTACCCAGGAAGTATACTATCTATCTGTATGTAAGTATAACACAGAGTAAAGGCAGTAGAACTAAAAAAACAAAAAAAGCCAATTAAATCATACATCACACATCTGATGTGGAGATCCAACAGAAGCAGGACCTTATTTATTTTCCCTTGTCTTCCTATCAATTTTAAATTTTAAAAATGAACCTATATGGTTGTAAATGTGGTTTGTTCAATATCAGAAACCCGTGGATAAGACTGGCTATAAGACCAAAATTAATATTGCTCTAATTAGATAAGCAGTGTCTCAAAATTGATGTGTCACAATATTTACTCTATCTATTAACTGTTGAGATTTTGGTCACATTCATTTTGATTTTATTATATTACCCAAAAGCTTTCTCAAATCACTAAATTTCCTGCAGCCTGATTGATGTTTTGAAACTCAACTCGATTCACAGTATAAAAAGGTCAGCATGGAGCTTGGTGGAATTTTTTGGATTTAGGGTTTCTAATGGTGGAGTAACAAAATCATGGTCTGTTATCCCTAACTTCTGAAAATAGTGTAGTGAAAATGTCATAAATATTTTGCTTAGTACCTGTAGCTGCACTTTGGGACAAACTGTGGAATGGAAATCTATCAGAACCCACACAGATTATTTTCAGGAAGCTTAACTCTTTGGCAAATGAATGTCATGATCATTTGTATTTGGGTTTTTTGCCATGCCTTTAAAATAGTACTTTTTTTGCTGTAACTGTAAACTGGAAGTAGATTTGCTCTGTTGCCAGCCCTCCCTTGTTTTGGGAAGTGTCCCTTTTTAAAAGACTTGGATGTTACACAACTTTGTCCCTTCTCCACTCCATTTGTGTGCACTGTAATCACATAGGTTTTAATTGCATAGCAACCAGCTGTCAAACTAGGCTTTTAATCACCGCTCATTGAATGCCAGCAGTGTTATTATGTGTATTAATGAATGAATTGAAGACGACGAGAGCTAACGAGCTTCTCTGAGCTTATCGAGCCTCCTACCGTGGCAGGGCCTTTTGTTGAGAGTGCTACAGTAGAGACAGAGTCAGTGAGAGAGATGAGGGTTGTCTGCCTTTGTGGAATGGAGTCAAAAGAGGACGCTATTAACTAGAGTGTCTTCTCTGGTAACAAGATCTTTTACAAAGGCATGGCTGCAAAGCAGTATCTGCCTTTGGCCATTTAAAAAGACGGATATTTAACGGGATGCATCTACGGTTTTGCCATAAACAGTATGGGTGGTTAAAAATTACAGTGGTTTCAAAAATGTTCAAATAAGTAGTCTATATATCTCACAATATTATTTGGTTTGTTATTTTGTTTTTGTTTTTTGAAGTTTAATAGAATTATAGCTGCAGACATAAAGTATTTTTACATTTGCTGAATATGACTGAAATTAACCACTCTCTCTTTCACCCACATTCCTCACCCATCCTCCAGGTTATGTCTTCTGTATGCTCCATCGGCTCCCAGAACAACATGAGTGTCTCTTTGACCACCTGGGCCGCGGTCGGCAGGAGGCTGTCCTAAAGATGGTCAAGCTCGATCGCAAGGTGGGCCGCTCATGCCAACGCATTGGAGAAGAGTGCTCCTGAGCGACCGTTCCCTCTGAAGAATCTCGGTGTTCAGACGGTGTCTTGGCACAAACAGGGATTTGATTTTTTTTTTCTCCGTTTTTTTCAAAGATTTTGCAGGTTTTTGGATACAAACCTCTGCCCTTTTCTTTTAAATTATGCTCGCTCTTTTTGAATCCCAGTGTCCCAGTTGTTTTCTTCTTCTGTTGGCTTGATCATATCCCTGCTGCTAAGATGCCTTTTGGAAAATCCAAGCCCAGGAATGACAGAACAATAAAGAGCAAATGAAATTTCTTCACTTTTTTGTTGTGTAGTCATCTCCTGGCTACACAAGTGTGAGCAGAATAAGAATGAATAAAAGGATGAAGAGAAGGAATACAACGCTTTATACAAATGTTTGTCCAGGAAGCCAGTTTAAGACTATACTCTTTACCTCAAAAAAGAAAGGAAAAAAACAAGAATGACAAGGAGGGGGAGAGGGAGGAGGACGGGATGGTTACCCTTTGTGTACACTTCTGCTTTGGCGCTGTCCATAGACTGCTCTTTACCTCAAAATCAGACAGAGCTTGCTTTGTGCTCTGCGCCAAGCATAGACTTTGTGAAGCAAACCAAGCTAGCCAGCCTCAGTTTAAGTCAGTGTCTTACCCCCTGGCCAGCCACTACCCCTAATCCTAAACCTTTAGAAACACAAACACCTGTTAATCATCCCACCTCAGGTTATCAGGATATCAAGGCCCATTCTTCAACCCTCCTCCCACCAACTTGCATCCTTCTCTTTTCCTCTGCACCTTTTGCTCCTTTGTTTGTTTAAGAGTGTCCCACAGGTGTTTCTGCTTTGTTGTAGAATCCATTGTGGATGATGAAATTGGGGTGATGCTGTTAAGTCCAAATTCAGAACTTGCAGTGTGAGCTGGACTCAAATACATGATGGTGAGAGTGAGCTGGTTGTCCTTGGATTGCTCACAAATCTGTCTTCAATGTTTGGACACGATTGATCAAGACTTAATTTCTTGCGGATTTTCTCTGTCTTCCTCTTTTAGTCTCGGTCTTCATCACCTTATTCTCCACAAGTCCTCCCACATAATGAAGACATGTCCCTCATATAGTCTCTTTTCTGCAACGAGGATTAGGAATATGTGTGTTTGATATGTACAAACTTGAGGAAGACAACATTTGCAAGACATGGCATACATTAAAGTATGCGTATGATTTATGACTGGACCTGAAATGTCTGCATTGTATGCGTCCGCACATCACTATACTTTTGCAAATACATACACTTATATGTTTTATGTGCTCAGCTGTTCACATTGAGCACAAGCAGGTAAAATCAAACATTGCTGTACTCACTCAGAGGTTCCTGTTTAAGATGGGTGATGGTTGTTGTAGTTCAGGTTTGTTATAATGTCTTAGGCCTTCATTTCAATTATCCGTATTTTTAAGGTCATTTTTGGCGACAGCTTTGATACAATACTTAATATTGTTTGGTTTTCACTCCTTTTACCAGTACTTCCTACAATGCCTGATGTTTTCATTTCTAGATAGCATGATGAGCTCACAAGCATTCTGCTCCTCCTGCCTTCCACTTTTGTTTTCTCATCTTCCCCTTATTGATTGCTCTATTTTTCCTAGTACTGCTCCCCCGCCATCAGCAGGGGTGAGCAGAGTGCTAAAAGTTGACATCAGCAAATAATGACTTTCCAAATGCTCTCCTGGTGGACTGTGGTAGGAATGAACAGAAAATGCATAATGAATGAATATTCTGTATCTTAAAGAAATCCTTATTTAACCCCTTTTTGCGTTTCACTTAGACTTTAGAGTAGAACTTCTTTTTTTGGGGTTGTAATGTGGTTATAAAATGGGAAGATGAATGTGGAAAAATCTTTATATTTGTTTCCATTACTTTACATTTTACCTCCCCTTTCCTACTTTTTCTTTTACTGAGAAAGAATAAACTGGATTAGACAAAGTGTGAAAATCTCTAGTGTACTTATTGACATGCTGGATGGGAGGATGATGATTGTTTGGGAAAAGGCAAGAGTTGAGCAGTTACACACAAACTGATTTGATTTTTCAGTCACACTCGAGGTGCAAGGTGGAAATTTGGGAGTAGGATGAACATATATGCATATTTTGCATAATGTGTATTTTTAATAAAGTGAGGTTTGTTAAAAGTCCAAGCCTTCTTGCAACAAGGTGCTGGCACTCCACGTCCTGGTATCCTACCAACTTTTTATAGTGATGTAAACATCTGTTACTGCTCACAGAGGGCTGCTATAAAGCTACTCTCATTTACTTAACAAATCTGTTTGAGTGTGTGTTTGTGTGTGAACATGTGTGCTTGCTAATGGAGAATTTTAACTAAAGAGGCTTCTGATGGGAGCGATGAGTCTTGTGGGCCGGCTGCACTAATTAATGCTGTGAAAAAAGAAAACACATGTAGCCATGATCAAAAGGAATCTTCAAACGTTGAAGTTGGCTGGCCGCCCGGCTATGTGTAATCTCGCAACCTCCTCAAACTATGCAAGTTAGCATCCAAATGTGAAGTAGTTGTAATAGAAGTTTCTCCTTTGTCAAGGTGGTTGAAACTTTGAACAACCCTGCTGGGTTACACACAGCATTTCAATCTCTTAAAATGTGCTCTGTGTAATTGTAATTGTGCTCGCCACCACACTGGGTCATTTGACATGCATATGGTATCGCAGGAGATCTCCAAGACTGATAAATATTTGTTTGATGTATTTTTAATTAAAGAAAAATAGCCTCTTGCTCATTTGTACAAGAGCATGCCATATGTTGACGCATGATAACTGCTGCGATCATGAAACTTTTGGACCTTGAAGTGGTGAATTATATATTTTTCTGACACAAACTCCCATTTATTTCTACATTTTCCAGCTTTCACTCTTAAATTTGGTTGGAATATATCAGTTGGTTTGTTTAAATGATCGTTTAAGTCTCCCACAGGCTTTTTAGAGGCCTCTGTTTTCGGTGTCAGTTTCTGCACTCTATTGTGTTTTATGTTGTCTTGATTATATCCTGACACAGGATGAAGCGCAGTGCCAGGATTGGGTGGCAACAAGGAGCATGAGATGTGTATTTGCTGGAGGCTGCCTAGTGAGAGGGATTTGGGGGGATAAGATGTGGTGGCCGGTGGTAAGTAATCTCCTTACAGCTCAACAAACAAGGAGGCCTGCCATTCTCACCACCTTAATTGGCTAACATCAGTTACATACACCATCCTTGTATTGGATTTTGCTCTGTTAAATACTTTGTCTCTCTTGCCACTCTGTCTGGGCCTTCATGTCTCCACTGTTATTTCTTTCTCTCTTCAGACACATTCATGAAACCAAGTGTGCCTGAGCTCAAGTGAGCACTGATGTATTAGTTCCTACTTCAAAAAGCAGGCACCAGTTTGAATCAGACATCATATAAAGAATGATCTCAGATATCCAGTAAATGGAAGGTGACCACGTCCAAAGCAGTATCAGTTTCATTATTTCATGTGTCATAGTCTGTTTTCCAGGCAGTGCTTGTGTGACCCAGTGTCATGATAAAGTCACTCAGTAGTATTATTTTACCTGTTGACCACTTGTCAGTATGAGGGCATTTCTGTGATAACATCAGATGGATTACATGGACAACAGACTCCAAATCTTCATTACACAGCAGATGTACTTCAATAAAAGATTTTAATAATCATTTTCTATTCTTGTTTTGCTTTGACTTATCTGCCATTTGTGTAAGGCATCCTTTGGTCATCTGAAAGGTGCTATAAAAATGCAAGCTCTTAATGAGCATTGTGCTTTATATGTGTCAAAAATATGAATTTAGCCAAGACTATACTGTACAAATGCTGTGTTGCTTTGGTTTTCACTTAATTCAAAAGAGGCCTGCCAATTATGTCACACTGGGAAAGTAGAGTAGATTATAAAGAAGCTGCAGAGAAAATGAGTCATGAAATAATAAGGCAGCATGTAGGTTGAAATTCCTGCTTAAATTATATCAAAACCAACAATCTTGGTTTGAGAGCCATGTAACTCTAAAAATGTTTGCTGGTATAATGTTCAAGGGCTGTAATAGAGCAGTTCATACATTAGTTCCCTCTATCCTTGATAATAGGAAAAAACTTCCCTATAGTCGCCCTTTAGTTTGACATAATTTAAAGTTTGAGAAAACCTGTCAAAGTTGTCTTAACCATTAATGCGACTATAATCAATGTTTTTATTTTTATTATTATTATTTTTTTTTAAACTTGTTTTTGTTTTCTCGACCGCAATTTTGTTTCACTCTCATTGCTCTCATCAGCGTTATTTCCAGGTTCAGCCGGCAGCTGTTTTCTGCAAAAAGCTCTTATTAACCCACTGTACACTACCTCCCCAGCACCAAACAGTGGACAGATAAAGCAACTGCCTGGTGAACATAGTGGATCATTTAGCAGCTAAGTAGCCAGAAATTTCCCTCAGTAGTTGGTGGAGACCAAACACAGCTAACAGAGTGAATATTGGGCTTATATTCATCAGGTATCCAGAAACACTCCAAATAGATGATTATGGTGCTCTAGATCAGTTGGATGTGTAATTAGCAGCTGCTTGCAAACAAGTTCACCATGTAGTGTTCACAGCTTGTTTCTGTTGGCCCCATGTGACCTAAAAAAAAGCAGTTATTGTAGGTTTAATCAGTAACACATCTTAAACTGTAACTTTGTGCTTTATCGTAGCTCACCTAAAACACAAAATGTCATGTGTATCATGAGTAGAGATTTATTCTTTAATATTCTTACCCAGAGACACATAAGGCATAACTCCCTCTCATACCATAGCTAATGACTCCAGCACCATTCATAACCACCCCAACCATCATTTACCACCACAAACCGACACTATGATGTAGGAGCCTCAAACAGGCATTCTGCTGACATTTGGTCAGGTTTAAGAGGAAATGAGCACCGACAGTGGAAGATCTAATCCCTGTGTAGCCATTACTGTCAGTCTGACATTTTTTCTTTCTCCATGTGACCTTTAAGGAAGAAGCTGACTGTGCATTTGTGTAGCAAGTGTAGATGTTTGCACAAAATTTTGTATTTTTGCAGCACTCATTCTATGTCTGTTTCTCATTCCACAACCAGGCCGCAGCATACCATGGCGTGTCATTTTCCCCTCAAACTGTATTTTCCTTATTAATGTGTAGTCATCGTTTGCTGTGGGCCACTGTAAAGCCTCCATTATTTGGCTGCCTGGGTGGCTGCCACTATTGATTTCCTGTTTCTCAATTCTCTAAACCAAAGCCAAACTGGGCGGCTTATATCTCCCTCACCCGTCTTTCTCACCTATCCTTGGTCTTCCTAACCTTTATCTCTAAACTGTCCCCTCTTAGCTTCCGCCTCCTTCTTACTCATTGGTGTAATGTTCTGCTCTACTTCTGTCGCTGCTATGCTTGGGCTGTTTCCAAGACCCAGAGGTTAAAAAAAGTTGAATCCAGTTTAGACTGAAGAAGCAGCTTTGACAGCTGCAGCATATTAAGCAGCAAAACATTCTGCCCACTTTGTGTTTCGGTGGATTTAAAAGACCACGTTGGATTTTTATTGGCAAAATTCTCCTGCTTTTATCAACTGTCTGACATCTGATTAGCAGATTGGTAACTGTAATGCTTCTCTGTTGTTAGTAAATAATGCAATTTGACACTTCATGTATAGTCCAAAAAATACTAAATGTGCTAATGTGTTGAAGAGATTATTCTGGTCTATGTGCAGCAAACAACTGTAAACGGTCACAAGTTTAAAGGAATGATTAATTGACAGACATTAGCCACAGTACATTTATTTAATAGTGTTATTGCTAAGAAAATAAAACTGATATTGCGTTCAGCTGTTTTGAAATAAAGATAATCATTTGTGTAAAAAGGAGACAGGAAATGTGAATTCAGGCTGAATTTAGACTGAGCCAAACATCAGAAAGTTAAAATATTTCTGTCACTGTTGTGTCAATTTATGGTTACTTTGCTTTAGTTGTACTGAGCACTCCAAGCCTTGATTCACCCAGGACACTCAGAACACTCCCAAACTGCAGGGGGCAACCATGCAACAAAAGTTGGTGGAACCAACTTTTGGGGAAGTAGCTTTTGGGACTATATTTGCCTGCGCACCCACAGAGAGAGCATGGCATTGAAATGTTTGTAGAGAGTTAGGTTGGTTCTCTCATTTATCCCTGGAAAAGGATACTATGATTACAGCTCCTGATCATTCAAAGACGCAACTGGTAGGACAATTTATGATTGACTGTGTTTGAATATATTGAGTTTTAAATGTTCAGGTTCTGCTTGGATTGTAATTTGCAATTTAAAATAAGTAATGGGGATTTGTTATGTGAATGTTGAACTTGACAGAAGTAACATGTGCATGAGTTTTATTATGGGATTGGTATTTTCTTGTTAAAATCCTAGGTTAAACTTAATGATCGTGTTTAGTTTGGTTTGAAGATTCAATAGCATTTATTTATTAGAAAGTGGTATTGTGATTTATGTGTGACTGATTCATGATTTATCTGTAACTAATTCATGTTTTGATTTGTGTATTTGAAAGGTTATCAACCTATATCTACTGCTCCATCTATCAAGTCACCTTCAAGAAACTATACCATATTATTCCATCACTGGTCTATCAAACCATCTCAAAGAAAATAAAGAATCAAGAAGTGAAAAGATTGAGTTGTCCTTTGCGTTCTTCAGAGAGAAAAGCAGTTTTCAAGTTTGAGCTGAGCTGTAATCAATTAAAAAACACACAGAACTTGACAGTCACTGCCAAGTAACATTTGCCTGAGAGCAGATGTACCTAGAGCCTTAAAAGGAGCTAAATGTCTTTAACTATTTAGTAAACTCATGTAATTGTCATATAGAAATGTTTAATATAGCCTAAAGGTTAATGTTGTAGTTCTCGAGACCGGTCTTAAGACCACTTTTTGATGGTCTCATCTC